CTGGCACTGCACCTGGCAGGGCATTTTTTTTCTGTTTTTGAAGGATGGTTGGACTTTGCTCCAGTGGGTTCGGTGGCTGAAGCAGGGCTGCACCACCCCTGCAGGTCTGGCTGAGCTCCTGTCATCATCTGTCTTTGCTTTCTCAGCTGCTACTGACACATTTTTATTCCTAACATTAACATTTTAGTTGTTCTCAGGAGAACAGCCCATTATGTATTAGTCTCACTGACGCTGCTCTTCTGCTCTGGTTGGCAATGCTGATTATGTAAAGGATATTTAATGTTGTAAATAATTAATTTTTTTTACAAGATTTTGGCTACTTTTTAGGAGTAAAAAAGAAATAAAAGAAAATGTATGCAGTGAATTTGAAAAAATGCTCAAGTCTTCTAGGAAGTGGGGAGACAGTTAATAATATATAATTAACATATCTTCCTTTCTTCCGTTGTTGGTGCAGACATGCCTTTAGATGAAAAGCATGGAAAATTAAAAGTGTGTGGGACTGAGTAATGTTGAATTTTATGTAAGTTCAACCTAGTCACCAGCTATACATTATGGAGAGAGCAAGCCTGTTCCTGCTCAGGGATCTCATCCTGTGCTACCTTTATACAGGCCTCCCCATGGTGCCATGCTGGGGGTTTTCCTCCAAAACGAAGGAAATTATGGCCTATCTCTTGCTCTGTTTTTGAAGGAATCCAAAGTGTCCAAAAGGAGTATATATTAAAGGGTTGTTAACCCACTTAGAGTCAAACATTTGATTTAAAGTTCATCTCATGTTTCCATCAGACATCCCGAGGTGGCACATCACAGCTCAGCAGCCCACAGTCAGGTAAAACACTTTTTAATGTGTGACTGTGTAAGGACACAGTCCATTGAGGAGGCTCCCAAGTTTTCTGAAAGGAATCCAGATATGAAAATTAAGGGTTCACAGACAGTAGCAGCAGCAGATATCCCTGCTGGAAGCATCACTCACCACAGCTCCCAGACCAGTGTTTCTTTTGGAACCACTGCTCACTTGCACTATGAACAGCTGGCAAGGAGCAGCCCTTCACACAAACCAGAGACTTTCTGATTCTAAAAATGTACCCTGGGCTTAATGAGGCAAATAGAACACAGAAGTGCCAGGTGTGGCTGTAGCAAACAGGTACCTCTGTGCCCAGCAGAGGCACTGCCCTGTGCTCACATGGATGAGTGGGAATGCCCACTGTGGGACCAGCAGCTTGCTAGGAACAGAATGAGGCTTGCTTCTGATAATTGTGGGTGATGGGATGTACTCAGAGATACTTCTGTTGTACTAACATTCATAATTATGCAAATCCAAACAGATAAATGGGGGTGTTTTTTGCTAAGGACTAGAGACAGTTACTTGTGTTTTACTGTGGTGCACATAAGCTGGTTTTGTAGATACTGGTCTGTAGACCCTGGTTATTCAGAGACTGCAATAATTTGCTGTACTGCTTGTCAGAACTATTGATGGCTCCTGGTTGAAAAGCTCTAAAGGTCAGGGGCAGATGAGTTTCCTGCTCACCCCAAGGCTGACATTTGCAGCCCTCTAGCCCAGAGTAACAAAGGCACAATGAGCCGCAGCCGCTTAGCAATCCTCAAACCCTCTCATTTCCTTTGGGGAAGCCTGGCTGGGTGCAGAGACAGAAACCCTGCTTCTGTGTGATGGCTACAACAGTGCTGAGAGTGTCATTATGAAGTGTCTGAAGAGGGACCCTGGTGCTGTTCCCTTCCAGGGATGTGCTGCTGTGTGCGTGGTGTCACCGGGCTGCAGCAGGGACCTTGGAGAGGGCTCGTCCCTCTGAGAGGGCTCCCAGCTCGCAGCTGATGCAGGAGAAGGGTGTCAAAACACCCCTTGTTTCAACACAGGGTTAATCCCTGTATTGTAGGCAATTTCTCCAGAGACAATATCAGCTTCAGCCGCTACCAGGGGCAGTTGCATCAGTTTCAGGAATCACAAGAGGGTTTTCAGTCCTGAGCGTACCCCAAACAGGGCAACAAAAAGCTGCTTCCTGACAATAGGCCCCTCTCAGCACACAATAAATCCAAAATTTCATCTCCAAATATTTATAAATTCTACTTTTCCAGTCTTGTAAGTACCACTAGTCCTGCACCCTCTATTCTTCTGATCAAAGGACAGCATTCCATTGAGTTCAGACTTGCAGCCTCAAAGATATTAATTTTCTGAAGTCAATGAAGACAGTGAGACAAGAGATTTTACTTAAACTATATATTTTTACATAAAACAACTTTATGTTACAATAAAATCAGATAAAAATCACAAAGTTATATAATAAGTTCATAAAGAAAAAAATCAAGTTTTCATTTTATAGATATAAAACCCAGCATTTACTGCTACTAGGAGTCTAAATATTAACATTGACTGTCTATGGTCAATTTGAAAAAAGAAAAAAAAAAAGAGGATAGTACTTTTTTACAGCAGACAAAATGAGGTAAGAGATGTTTTACAATGATCCAACTGTAGTAAACACTTCAGTTTTCATTGAAACATATACTAAATATAATAAACCCAAATAAAAATATACATTTAGAGCACTGCAGTGTTTTCCCACAGTTGTATATCAACAAATTGTCATTCACTAAACTTTACTTGAAACAATAAAAACAGGGTGTATGTTTATCTTTAGTACTAAAATCTCATAATAATCTAAATATTTTGGTATAGCAGACCACACTAGTACACTCTCAGAACTTTCAACTACAAGGGATATATTCATGTTAAAAACGATGTGCTTTGTTTGTCATTCATGATGAGCTTTATAGAATATTATGTTCATGATCACTATTAGGCAATTAAATGAAAACATCTAAATGCTGCAAAATACTCTTTTATTGAGCATAGCTTCCTCATCACATACCCAGGTTAATCAAAGTCCTGCAAACTTAGAAGTTTAGTTCACAAATCTTACATATTGGTCTTTTCAGCTAGTATATGGCTAAAATAATTATTGCTGACCAGTGTTAAAAAACCAAACAAAACCAACCCAAACAAAAATACAATAGCAGACAGATTTTTCTCAAGTGCCTTTCTTGTATGTACCATTATTATTAGGTAACTAAATTAACTAACTTTCAAAATGTGCATATAAAATTTTTAGAGGTATAGGCACCTTCATCTGAAGACTGTATGTTCAGGCTACCTGCCAAAAAAAAAAAAAAAAGAAAAAAAAAAGAAAAAGAAAAGAGCTAACATAAAACACAGTAGAAAATCAAAGGCTGGACATCCAACATCCCCCAGGGATGCAAGCAAAGCCCTCCTGGCCAGGACCAGCTCTGCCCACAGCCTGCAGGAGATCCCTCCTTTGGGAAGCACCTTCATCACATTTCTCATTCACCTCCTGACTCTATTTCACTTCAGGTACTTTATCATTTACCACTGAGAGTGGTATTTAAGATGTGCAAACTTTGTGTCAGGTGTACATTCCAATAGTGAGCCTAAAGCCCTGCTGAGCTCCCGGGGGCGCAGGACTCCAGGCACAGCATCCCTGGCCAGGCTGTGTGGGTCAGCTGGGGCTCTCTGGCTGTGGGTGTGTCTGGATTCATCTTGTGGCTGTGTATTGCTTGGCCTGACACACAGGTGCTTCTTGAACACAATCCACAGAAAGAAAAATTACCTTAAAGTAGCTTTCTGTCCTACCATTGCTAAATTGTACCCATAACCAGACCGTGCAAGCCCAGCCTGGGACTCCTTGCTGCCCCTCAGCCGCCCAAAAGCTGGACCTGCCCTTCCACAAGGTCCCTGGTACTGCTGAGGCCCTGTGGGACAGGAACAGCTTTTCCTGATTTTGACTGGAAGTGTCTGACCATAACCAGAGCCGTGGCTGCAGTGCTCTCTGGGCTCTGTGTGTGTGGATGTGGCACTTCCATCCCTCACACCACCACCTGTGATATGCTGAGGACTTCTTGATATTTACAGGCTTGACAAGCCCAGAAGTGCCTGGACAAAGGCAGGGGAGCCAGTGGATTGGTGTGGCCATCCAAACCTTTGGCACATCCACAGCTCATGGGGAGAGCACATCTTTCACTGAAATCTCTGCTGAAACAATAGCCAAAAAAATTTGCTGCTGCTGCTGCCTTCCCTTACACCTCTTCCCTTCAGATTTAGCATCGGGCACACATTCAGCTGAGCGAGGCATTCCACCCTGACAGGGGTTTTATCTTTGCTAATCCATAGGCTCAAGAAGACAGTGATATATTCCTTACATGCTGTTGATGCTTTGAAGAGTTTTGCCAAGATAGGTCTTTGGAAGAGCCTAAGGAATAGCATGGCCTTGTAGCTGAGAAACTCCCAGCACTGCAAGGTGGTGACAACAACAGGGAATTTTCCTTCTGTCACTTATGACACAGCCAAAGGCGGCAAAAAATTAATAAGGAAAAGAATCGATACTTGCAAAAATAAATAAATGGCGTAGAGAAGAGAGCAGAAGTCTGTGGACAATTTTGTGCCCTGCTGTGAGTGGGATGTGTGTTCCTGTGGCCAGCAAGCCACTGAGCAATCACTGGACAGGGCAGGTGAGCCCCTGCCTTAGCACCACCAGTGCTTTGGCTGGTACCCTTGTAAGACAATGGCAGGGCAGGGACAGCAGGCACAACAGCACAAACCCTTCCTGCTCACCTTTATTCACCAAGCAGCTTTAAAAAATTGCCCTCCCTAAATTGCCCACATAAAAACCAAATTGGGTGTTTGTACAGAAAAAAAGATATTGTCTAAATAACATTTGTTTTCTGGCCACAGATGCACTCAGTGTAAAACAAAGAAAGTGCAGTCTTTGAATTCTCAGATACAGAAAATGACAGGTGGTGTTGAATTTCATAAAGAAAAGACAGTTTTCTTCCAGTGAGCTCACTTAGTGAAGGAGACACCAATTAGGTGTAGACAGAACACTGCAAAGTATGACAATTGCTGAAAATGCACTTCTAGGCCAAACAGAACTACTTGTGAAGTTGAGTCAAAATTGGCAAAAAAAGATTCAGCCAAATAATAAAAACCCCAAAAGGTTAACCTTTATTCTGTGTAACAAAGTTCCATTTTTTTCATTTTGAAATAATTTATCCCTAATATGAGACTAAGGTATTTTTCCAAAATGTGACATAATGTGTCTAATGGAATATTCTTTCCCCTTGAAAATAATTCTATCAATTTTAATGTCACTTTTGCTTTTATATAATACAAGGTATACCTGTTTTTTCCTCATTTTGTCAAAACCCCTCAAACTGTAGCATTATTCAGCAGCTCTAACATCACCTCAGAGAAGTCTCTCAGCCAGAGGTCAGTAACACACACTCTGTCCTGGTGTCACAGGAGGCCAGCAGAGCTGAAGCTCCCAGGTTGCTGATGTGTGGCAGGACCCGTGGTGGTGCTGAAACCCACACAGCAAGTGCCAAGCACATGTCCTTTGTTAAGGAGAGACCATGTAAGTGAGGTAGGAGAGATCCTGCCATAAAAACCACTTAGAGGGAGAAACCTGTGTCCAGAAAGGGAACTCGGGGTCACCCAAGGAGAGGTACAGCCTGCTATAAACCTGTGCTCAGGCTGGGTGGGAGTGCTGACCAAGGCACTGCTGACAGACACAGGGAAACCAGGATTAGCCCAGCACTGTGTAACAAATAAAACCAAGTTCTGCAGATCCTCTCTTGGACAGGGATGAAAATTCCATGGCCCTGGCAGTGTTTAGGGCCATCCCTAAGCAGGTGTCTTTGAACTCAGGGTGCCCACAGGTGAAATTCCAGCTGTGCACAAAAGGAGGGTCAGTGCATCCGTGGGATGGTGTGTGCATTTTGCTGGGGGATGGCTGGCTGCCCTGGTGCTCCCATCAGGACAGAGGAGGCATTTCAGTGCTGGGATGAGTCTCAAGAGGAGCAGTGTGAGGCTCTGTTTGGCACACAAGTTAGTGCTGGGCCACCAGAGAGCACCAAGGAATAAGCAGTGTGTGACACCATCGGTCCCCTGGGGTGGGGACAGGGACAGGCTGGAGAGGGCAGCTGCAGTTGGTGCCCAAACACTCCTGAGAGCATGCACTGCCACGCTTTTTTCTCTCGAAGAGGGAAAATCCAATGAAAGAGATGGGAAGATTAAAAGAGATGGCATTTTGGGGAGTTTAAATGATTCTATGTAGAAGCTCTCAACTTACTGCTGTTGGGAAGAAAGAAGAAAGAAGGCAATTATAACAAGCCCTTGGAGGCTTGAAGGACGGAGTTTCCCACAGCATAAAGCTGTGTACAGGCATCCCTAACAACTCAGCATCAGAGAAATAGCAGATATGTGATGCATACATCTAGGGCAAGATAGAAGAGACAGGGCAGGGATTTATTTAAGGACTCCATTGTTCCTCTGGCAGGCACTAAGCACCCAGAAATAACTGCCTGTGTCAGAGCTGTGCAGTGCCTTAATGTGCCACCATCAAACTCCATCTGTTTAATCAATGCAATCCCATGGAAACACTTCCCTTGCAATTTAAGAGTGGCTTAATACATTCCTAATGAACTGGATCTTAGACCTGACTGAAGTGAAAAACAAAGATCTGGATTAAGCCAAACAGTGTAATTTTTTCACTGAGTCTTTTGCATCCTTTTACCCAGCATCATGCCAAAACCAAAATTTATGTTGAAACAGAGAGAAGCCCTAAGATTACTCAGCAGGAAAAGGAAGACAGGGCACAGTTCTTGGTGCAAAAGCAATGAAGCACTGTGAGGAGCAGGGCCCTGACTGCCAGTATTGCTTGCAGCTCTTAATTGTGTTATCCTGTGGTTCCCAGCTGATGCAGGGATGAAAAAGCAGCATGGGAGGAGAGGAGAAGCAGGATGAGCTGCCTGCTAAATTATGGTGTATATCTGACTTTCTATCACATAAAAAGACTAAAAATGGAGACTACTTGTGCACAACCACACAGTTTCTGACGTCATTTTCAATTTTGAGAAGTCTGATCTAACCCCACATTATGCAACTGTTGAATCTTCCATGCTGGCAAAGTCTAATTTTCACACGCCTACATGCTATGTACCTGACTTTTATTTTTATTTTTAAATATCAACAGCCTAAAACAATTTTTTTAAAATAGATTTAAATGGTCATAATGGTTATGAAAGGTCCTAACTTTACATCCATTGTTTCAAAGGAGTAAAAAGCAAAAATACTCAAAGTCCATTCTAAAAAACAGGCAATGAAGATAATGTAATAGTAACAGATGAAATGAAAATTCAAGGGGCAATTGCAGACAGATCCCATCTCCACCATGGGAATTACATATTCATCTGTGAAAAAGTATTCAATGCATATTTCACCTACAACCCACCTTTCTTTTAAAGGCCACTTTAATAATCAAGATGTGCCAAAAAAAGAAAAAAGCCCTGAAGTTCCAAGGAAAGCCCTGAAATTCCAAGGAAAGCATGGCCATTTTATACCAGTCACTGCTGGGAAGCACTAACACAGTGCTTTACAAAGCTGTCATCAGAATCAAGCAAATAACGACATCACGTACACAAAAGTGCTTTACTGAATTAAGGTCCCAGGTAAACACTCTCAAAACAGGTTATGGAGAAAGAAGAGAAAGAAACTGAAGGAAGTTCTAAGGGAAAGAGCAATGTTTGGGCTGGATTCTCCTCTCTGTCCCTTTTTACATCTCTGTCTGTCATGAACTGAACTTCCTCCTCACTGAAGGCTGGGGTATGTGCTTGCATTTCTCAAAACACTCTTAGAGCTGCTGAATAATCAGTTCAAGAATAAAGGAACATTTCTGCCTCTCTGACTGAGATGGGCTTTTTTTGTACAACCTCACTTGGTGACTAATCCCTACCCTACTGCCAGAGAATGCAGAAATCATGGGAAAGGACTTAGATTTCACGTGGCCATCGCCCTGCCAGTCTCCTGGGCAGAAATTTGCTTCAGATAAACACCTTCCAGTAACCTTATAATGCTTTTCAGATCCATGTCTCCTTCCTCACTGCTGCAGAAGTCAATCAACAACAATCAAGTTGCACACAGAGGGGCACGAGACCTGTACAAACCAGCAACATACCACTTTTAAAAATAAATATCTGGTCCCCAGACTCAGGTGGGCATTTTTCAGAGATGCACATAATGATGGAACTATATGGGTTCAAAACTGAAGGCCAGAGAGAGGTGATGCTGCTAAGAGAAGTTGTCCTCACTGACTGGTAAGACACTCGACTTCAAGAGTTGAAACTCATTTCTGCATTGTTGACTGTTCTGTATGGATCCAGGCAAGCACATGGAACCTCTATCAGAGGTTATCTGAAATCCACTGCATTTTTTTTTGGTGAACCAGGCCTGATTGACATGGTCCTAAAGATACTGGTATCTGTGAGAAGTGATTTTCCTGGCTGCAGCTCATCACAGGCACACTTTACAAACTGCAGGGGCTCCAGCTAATCCCTCTGCTCCACCACAGAATAAAGTCAATCCTGCTAAGAGTGCTGATAGTCTGGACAAGAAAAAGACTTCTTTTCTGTTTCTATGGTTGCAACAGCCCTTAAAGAAAGATATAAATTTCCCTGCAACAACTAACTGCATATTCATTTTAAGGTAGGTCTAGTTCCAGATTCCTGAGACAGAACCCTCTACCTGTTCCCAACCCCACAAAGCCAGAGCAGCAATATAGAAAGTTTCTAATCTCAACAGAATTCAGTGAGCAGCACGATTGGTTTGGTAAATAAACAAACAAAATAAAATAAACCCACCAAAAAAAAAACCAACCAAAAACCCACAGCAAATTTTCAGCCTCTATGTACAAAACCAATGCAAACAAGTGGAACATTCTAGTTATATTTTGTAAAACACACGTTTGGGATCAACAAAACATCAAACATCCAGACCCTAGATTACAAAAAAGATCTATTGCCATCTAATTGTCAACCCCAAGTTTAGACAGTCCTTGTCGGAAATCATGTAATTCATCTATCTTCCCGTCTAGTACATCTAAAAAATTCTTTAATTCAGTTTTAAGGTTGGTCTGCCTATGTTTGTTCTCTTCGACTTCTGTCCTTAGCGTTCTGACTTTCTCTTCTAGATCTTTGTTCTTTTTCTCAGCAGCCTTAAAGACAAAAGAGACAATAAGATGAATCACAGAGAAGAAGGATGAGCAGCATTTCATAGATTAAAGCAACAAATGGCAGCAGGGCTGTGAGAGTTTGCTCGAACTTCTGTAAACTGATTAACACAAGCACCTCTGAGAGCAACTGACATGAGCTTGTCTGATTAAAAGCCCACGCAGGAAAGGACACAGATTAACTGGAAAAGATGCTTTGCATCAGACTTTGTCATTTGGTTGATATCTTCAAATTCAGCTGGATTTAAATCGTGCACTGTGCATACATTTCTGTCATTGCTACAGTTGCAGAATTAGACACCGTGCCATCAATTACATACAGAATTATCTACGGTGGTTTAACCTTGAAAAACAAACTTAGGAAATCCTGTCTGAGGAATAAAGTTGCTTTATTCAGCACTTTGGGATTTATTGGTATTTTTTTAAAGTTCTACTTTGCCTGATGGCTTATTTATCGATTGGATTTTACTTCATCGATGGGACTGCTCATTTTTGTTCTCTTTTCATGTATTAATTTATTGCATTTCCACAAGACCTGACTCAAGGAGGCAATGCCCAAAGTCCAGCTGCCGGCCGGGGCAGGGCTCCCGAGCCACAGGCACATGCCAGCCCTGCAGAAAAGGGATGGCACAGCACACAGACACATCCTCAGGTGAACTTTTACTCCTGGTGCTGAGCAGCTTTACTCATCTCCTTCTTTCCCCAAAGCCTGCCCTGGTGCCACTGCAGCAATCAGCCCCAGGCCTTGGGGAGATGCTCAACACAGGTGGCAGTGGTGCACCTCTGTGAGCCCAGAGCAGTGGAAACACGGGATACAGGATGGCCTGGCATTGCAGGAGATGGGTGCTACATCATCCCAGGCAAACCAGTCTCTGCAATGGAGCCATTTAACCACTCCTGTGCTGGGAACAGCACTGTGCATTTTGCATGTAATTAGCATTTTTTGTTTTTATGAACTGGAGCTCTCTCGAAACACTGAAGTCTGAATAGAGAAATGTATACAGCTATGGGAAAAAAAAGTAAAGGAAAGGCACCAAGTATTTTGAAATTAATTTCACTGCTAAACTGTACCTGCAATTGTTCAGATAGAGATTCACATTCTGACATTAGCTCTGGTATAATTTCACCCTGCTTTCGAAGCTCTTCCAGTTCCTTTGAAAACATAAAAGAAAAAATATTAGTGCAAGCTTCAATTTAAAACATAATGGAAATCTGAAGATGAAATGGCTTTGCATATTTTATTGTATTCTGCACAGTATTTGGATGGAAAATAATCAAAATAACCTGCCTGCATTCCAAAATTGCTAATTTTCTACAAGAATACATTTTTTCACTTTAATTTTTACTTTGCATTTCTAAAACAGGCAAAGTAATCCAGTCTCTTGCATGAATTCCATGAATTATATTAATAAAATCTTAGCCTAAACCATATACCTATGCAAAAGATGTATTGAATACCAGAAAAATCTGAATGGCTGTAATGCTACAAGTAATTTATAGATGGTAGCAAAGAGCAAATTAGACAATTTCAATGATGTATGACAGCAAAAAAAAAAAAAAAAGGCCAGTGGCTTTACCAGCTGCACATACAGAGATATCATTACAGAACACAGGTGTAATGGGCTTTCCTCCATGGTACAGATCTGAGAACCACCTACTCCTCCCCCAAAATCTGTATTTGGTTCTGTCCTCATTACCCAGACTGAGCAGACTTGATGAAGGGAGTTAATGGAAAGATCAACAGCAGGAATCCATATCTCTGTTGGAAATAAAGACAACTTGGAAAAAAGTGCAAGATCCTCCTCCAGAAACTGCCCACGTAGGTGATGATCTCCAGAGAAGGCAGGGGTACACCCCTGGACTACCTGCACTTGTGCAAAGCACTTGGCACTGTTCCACACAAGAGCCTTTTCTCCAAGTCAGAGATGTGGATTTGGTGGAGGAACCACCTGGAGGACAAGCATCTCCTACATGAGGAGGGTATCAGCAGCTTCTCTTACATGGCCATGCCATGAGCAGACTTCATGTGGGTTTGGATTCCAGACCATGAAAGATTACATATGGGTAGTTTAGAGCTAATCGAGAACATGCATGAATTTTTAAAACAAGTTAGTATATTTTCAGTTTAAATGGAAGACAGTCTTGTAAAATTCACAAGTCAATCAATTTTCTGGTTCATTTGGTACAGTAAAAATGTGAATCTTGAGGAGAATTATAGGAGAGAATAAGGGTTGTTATATATGCTATTGCCATAGAAAGGTTGAGAAGACAGCATTACATTTTCCTTTGAAATATAGGGCTGAAAACCACTCTATTTATGACAGTGTATCAAAATCCATCTCCTTAAACTATTTCCTTGCACCACCACAAAACCTATTAACAGCAGTGCTTTTAAGAGCACCAGCAGAGATGCTGTAATGGCACATGGCAAACTTTATTGCACTGCATTTCCTCTTCAGCCAGCACAGAGCATTTGGTCACTGTGACAACAGAAAAAAACCACTTCCCATTATTTTCCCCACTCTTCTGGGGTTCCAAGCCATCATCCTCCTTAGAAAAATTAACAGCCTGTAATGTCAAAAATTACAAACTGGGTCACTCTAGATGAATCTGAATTTCTCACTCTTGTCATTAGTCCTGAGGTCAAAGTGAGACCATAAACCAGCAAAGCTGAAAACTGTGAGCCATCCAGAATAAGAAACAGGACTTGTTACACAAATGCCAAATTATTTTGTAAACTATGTCTTTTTAACAGCAATCCTGATGCCTATGGGAATTTTCAGCATGGGGAGAGTCAAATGAATCTGTTCTCAGCACACATCTGTCTGGCTCTGGGCACCAAGTTTCACCACTGGCTCTTCTACAAGGACAGGTGTTGTGTACACCAAGGCATCCTTTTCTAACCTCTGCCAAATTGCAGTGTGCAGTCACAGCACATAACACATCATGGAACTTGGATGGAGAAACACTACCAAACAAGGGACTGTCCATGGAAAACCTAGAAACAGGCAACACCCCAAGATACCAGGCTGCTTCTGGTGGTAGGTGAGCCACTCCTCAGCAACAATCTACACCCAAGAAGAGAAGCAGACAGTCCCACTCAAACATGAAGACACCATTTCTGTGTTCAGGGCACTCACCAACTCTTTGTCCTGAAGTTCTGTTTCCAGTTCCTGGAGGCGTCTACTCAACTGTGCATTTCTTTCCTTCTCTTTGTTTATTTCATTGCATTGTTCCTCCAGTTCTTCAATCTTTAAGAAATGTCAGACATTAGATGAAATTTCTCAAATTTCTGAAAATCTGGGGCAGAACACATCTGATGAAATGGACATGGGATCTGCTTCCTAAATCATAGCATTGGCTTCACTGCAACCAAATTATCACTTTTTTCCTTCAAAAGAGTCAATTTACACACCCACTAGGAAACCCTGAGTCTCTATTTATTCTCTCTTACAGTCTCTCTTATAAGTACTCAGGAATGCACAAAACACTGAGCTGCTAAAATAAGTGGAACTGGGGATAAAATCTGCAGTTCACTCCTATGAAGCCTACACAAGGCTACAAGGAATGGGTTTTCTTAACACAGCAAGAGGAAGAAATCTCTTGGGGGTTGCTTATTATTCTAGCTGGTGTATGAGGGACACAACATCAAAACTTTGGGGGAGAACCAGTTCAGAGCAACATCTGCTGCTTTGTTCTCTCGCCCAGGGATGTGCTTTGCTCTCTCCAAACCTCCTGCTGCCAGCTCTGGACTCAGCTCCCAGGAGATGCACTTCCCACAGGCCGATGGACCAGCTCATTAAAGTATGTACTTTAATTCTCAGCTTCGTGTTGCTTTGGGATTATAACTTCCCCCATTTGAAGGTAGAGCGATATGCAAAAAATTCTGACCCAATTAATAAAGCAAAAGGAGCTTCCCAGGGCACTGCAGTGGTGCAGTGTGAGCATTGAGCAAGGAACCTGCTTGGGGGAAAACCTCAGAAAACCTCCCTGCATGGAGAAAGACAGAACATTATACAGGCAGTGTTGCTGCACAGTCTGGCTGTCACCAGCATGATGACTTTGAAGAGGCAGCAAGGTGGTGTTTTAATAATTTCTTCTCTAGTACAGCTACTGGGATGTGGCATGTGTTGATGAGAACAACTTTTCCCTGCAACAATACAGAAAGGATAATAACTACCCTGCAAATTATGATATTTTCCCATAACATACTGTTCCAGTCACTCATTTCTCCCCTATCCACAAGAGGCTGGATTTATGAAGCTAAATCATGTAACAACTAATATTAATTTGTTAATGTAACATCAGTTAATACAGCTGTGGTTTGATCTCTGCATTACCACTGTGCACCCATAAAACACAAGTGAACAAACAGTGAGTATTGGCCTCAGAAAAAAGGTTGTTCCACAAGGATTTTCAGTGCCAACAAACAACCCAAACAACTTCCAACACTGAAATACTACCTGCAGCCTACTGACACACAAAAAGACACGTAATTCCTTCCCTCTTCAAAAGCAAACACTAAACAAAAAAAAAAATCTCACCAGACTGATAAAATCTGATCTCTACTTCAAATGTCCCAGTAATCCATCTAAGCAGCAGGAAAAGGATCCAGCTTTTCCAAAAACATTTAGGATGAATGAATTGAGGGTGAAAATACCCCTGCAAAAGCAGTGCTCATGGAACCCAGGATCCCCTGTGCCCAGGATCCCCTGTGCCCATAGGGGCTGTTGCAGATAGCACAGTATTATCTGAGAGATGGTCCTAATGATTACTCTAAACCAAGACTTCACAGATTTAAACTTCTGAGTTGTTCTCTGCTGTAGCCATTGCTAGCCCTCCATCTTACACAAGTGAGAAATGTCTCAGTAATGAAGGGGAAAAGGCTTTTGCTGATGCCTGTTGGCAGGTTTGTGGATGAGATGTGCCAGGTGTTATTGCTGGAGGATCCAGCTCACCACCCACATTGCTGAGGGAATAACTCACATCCTCATTCTCCTGCTCACTGCTGGGATTTGCTTCTAATACTGAGTGAATGGAGTGGTTCCCAGGCTGGGCTCCTGTGGGTGACCAGGCCACAACCTCGCCTTCTGCTCATCCACATCTGGCAGTATTTATTTAAGTGAGCTTTGAAAGGGATATGCAAAAGCAGCCCCGTTTTCAGAACCTTTCTGGCTTCTCTCCCCAGCCAACAGGCCCTGCTGACACCACATCTCCCAAGTCCTGAAGTGGGGAACTTGATGTGGCAGCTCCTCTGCTCCCTCCTGCCCGCTGTGTGCGGAGGGAAGCGGCTGCCTGAGCTGCCCACCCGCCCAGCTCCCTTCCAAAAACCAACCCCATCTCCCAACACACACTGCGAGGAAGCTGCAGAGAAAGAAAGAGCAGCGACTGGAGCTGCTCTCCTGTGGGCATGTTCTGCTACCTTGCCCCTCAGCTGGTCGTTCTCCTCCTTGCAGGCTGAGAACTGCTTCTTCCAGTGCTCGATGCTGGCCGCCGACTCCTGCAGCGCTGTGGACAACCGTGCATTGCTCTCCCGCAGCGACTGCAGCTCCGTCTCCCACTTCTTCACGTTGGATGAACTGAGAAAAAACAGGACACCATGAGGTGGTTTCACCTTGTATTCCTGTGAGCTGTTATGCTTTACTTGTCTGCAAACTCCCCCACCGCGGTGTGTTCACCATTAATTTGTTGCAATAAGAGGAAGAGCACTCAGATGTGTGTAATTGCCTTTAGCCATTAGATGCCTACAGAGAACAAAAGCCTTAATTTGACTGTCTCTGTCAAAACAAAGGGATCTGCCATTTCCAGCAGCAGTGGCCTGCGTCTGGAACAAAAGCCCTGCTGTCAGAGCAGGGTCCAGCTGCCCATTTGCACCCGGGGGTCTCACCTGGCAGTGCATGGTCCCTGTCACCTCCTGAGCTGTGTGGCTGCAGCAGCTGGGGCTGGGCACCTGGCACCCCTGCAACACAGCCACTCTGCACATCTGCAGATGGCACAGCAATTCCAAATGGAAGATTTCAGGGGGTTGACACCATCTATATTTGAATTTATTTTAATGCTGAGTCTTAACTATAAAAGTGTTACATAATGCTGCAGAATTAAACTACTCATTCCCCAAAGCTCTGAGCTGCAGCACAGAGCACAAGATTAGAGGGTGAACGGGAGGAAGGCTTTGAAACTCCCTGTGTGCAACTTGCTGCCTGCCTATGGAGGTGTCTTCAGCAAGAGGAACGAGCTAACATTACTGTTTGAAACAGGTTAAGCTACTGAAATGTCAATAAAGAGAGATGTTGCACTTCAAACATAATATATGCAACCTTGGAATTGCTCACTGGATAACGCTGCTTACAGTGATGCTTTGTTTTTTAAATACCTTTTTAAGAGTAGCTTGATCTTGTTAGATTTTCTTTCCATTCACAGATACACATTCACATGCAAGAGGCAGACAAGGCAAGATCCCAATAGAGAATTATTCTATTTTAATGTTGTAGCTTTGCATATTGCAACGCCTGTATTTTCACTACAGCTGCAAATTACTATTCTCAGCATTTTCAAATTATTTATCAAAGCACATAGCAAAAAATGTGATTTCAAGGGGCTCTGTCCACAATTTAGAAATATCCCCTAAGACTTCCAAGCACTCTGATGAAATTATAGTTCTCACTTCAACTTTTTATGGTCGAGTTCATTCCCTTTCATAATTTTAAATATCCATATCTATTTTCATCAAAGTAAGTGTATCAAACTCAAAGAGGAAGAAAGATTGCCTTCACATGTTATCAGCAGCAATCGCTCCCCTATGGCTTTAACGTTATTTCTGCACTTCTAAAACTTCATGAAAGAAGATGGTTATAACAGTTGGCATCAGCAGAATAAAAGAGAGCTTATTTCCTCACAAACTACATCAGGAATAAATGAAATGGGAAATATTTCTCAACTGGATACCAGGAGGTACTTGCTAAAATCTGTTCATTCATCCATTCTGCAGCACGATTTAAAATTAATTACAATCTGAATAATTTCTGTTAATATCATTATCCATCAGATAATTACAGCACGCTTTTCCAGTGCAATTTAAGTTCTACAGGAACTTCACCTTTGGGCTAGAGCAATTTTTAATTTATCATTCTCAGATTTGAGATGTGCCTCAGCAGAGCCACCATGTGATGCCTTCTCGTCGTCTGTGCCATTCACACTTGAAGCTCGAGTGGAAGATGGTGTTTCACGTCCAGACTCCTGCAGCACAACACACAAACGAACACTGGGTGTCTCCTGCATCTCCTGCAAGACCACAACACCAATTTCTTTGTAATCTTGATCCCACACCACTTGGCTGAGACCTCGGCTCTCCTGGCAGAGCAGTGGTAACACACACATACCCTTTTCATCTTGGCTGCAATGCTGGTCTGTTTAAAAAGAATGAAAAAATTACAATGATACACAAATGGAAGTTTAAAGCGTTCAAAACTTTAAAAAAGTTTTTTTCCCTGATAAGGCTTGTGTTTTCTAAAAGTTGTTTGGTTTTTTTAAGATAATGAAACAATGCAACACACAAAGTACAAAGAAACAAGCAAACAAAAATAATACTGCTCCTCCAAAGACATACTATTCACACACTGCTTGGCACTGACCTCAACAGAGAACAAACAAGGTGAACTACAAAGACCATGACCAAAGGCTTTACAAAATGAGTATCCAAAGTCAGCCACTCACATTGATGTTTGTGGGCCCCACAAACAGGGGTGGTTGCAAGGCTGAAACCATTCAGCAGCTTTTTCTGCTCATTCGTCTGAATTCCTCTCTGATCAAAATCTAACTTTCCCCCAAACATTAGCCCAGGCCAGGAACACCTGCTAAGCAGGGTCCACTCTTACCTAAAGCACTGCACACAAAAATACAGCCAACCACTAGAGACTGGGACAACACTCCTTTTCTTCGGTTTTTAGGACAGCCAGACCTCGCTGGACGCAGAGGCAGCGGCTGGCACCAGCTGCTGCCTCGCAGAGTTACCGTGCAGATATCCAAACACAGGCTTCTTCACCCCCTGCACCCTGCCCCTGCTCCCACACCACTGCTGCCCACTGCCAAGGGAGCCCTGCACACAGAGCCAGGAAAAGCAAAGCCCACAGAAGTGGGTTGGACAGATGACAAAAAGAAGGATATCGATGAATCTCATTTACTGTCTGCTGAAGCGCTACGCTGACTTACTTCCCAGTGACTCAAACTGTGTTTAACAGCACAGATCAAAGGATGTATAGCTTCCCCTGTTATTAAAAAAGTTGTAACAGCTCAAGGACTGCTGAAAAAAAAATTAGATTGAAATGAAAGTAAAGGGCATGAAGGGATGAAAAATATTCCTCTGACAATGCTAATGTCCAGAAACTGACAATTACCTTCAGCAATCTCAATTTTATATACTTTAAGCTGGCTGCCAGAAGCTGGCACAGTCCATTTGAAAATTTAACTTTAAATTATTTATCCTGTATGTGTACAGGTATTAAAACTAAATTACAAACCTGTGAATGATTGCTTGAGGTCTCAATTTTCTCTTGAGATCTGTCTCTTGCAAGTTTGGCAGCTTCTTTTACTTCTTGGAACTTCTCTGCAAACTAGAAAAAGCATGAAAGATATTTATTAACATGATTTATCATCTGTTGAACCATTAAGATTGCTATCTTCATATGGTATAGATGTCCAAAAGCGAACAACTAATTTTAATAATTTAAAATTTTTGGCAAGAAAAAACATCTTAATTCTTTGGCAGGATGGTTCTTCCAAAAGAAACTAGTATGTTTCTAAAAGAGGGACATTTCTATAACTCTGGCCAACCACAGTAACAGCCCATGGGGGAAAAGGAACATTTGGTGTCTCCTGGTTTGATTTGGTTCTGTTTCCTCCTCCTTCTCTCCTGTTGACAGTGTATTAAAGAAAAATATATTAAAGACATATGTTTAGATAAAAATATTATCAATGTCTTCTATTCCCAACAGCAAGTGAATTCAATTAAAGAATGCAAATAAGTTCATCTGCAGGAAGTAAGCAAGGGATTATCAAGACATAGGAAAAAGGAGAAGGCAGATCTCAATATATGATGAAGTCTTACGAAAACACAACTTTTCTGCTCTAATTTTCTTATTACTTTCAAAAATAAAGGTAGAAGACTTCTATAAAGATAAAGGCTTGAATGCTTCCTGTAAAAGCGCTATATCAAACTGGGGGAGGTGAGAGGAAGGAAAGATAAAGATAACAATCCCAACCTCTATGAGTTGCTGTAGGACATCTGCTCCAAAGCCAGCCTGGCATTTTTGAAATACAAGTATTATCACAGCCAGTCAGGGTTTCAGGGCTTCAAACACTTTAAATAACATTTAAAATTTTAAAAGGAGGATTATAAAGATGGGAAAAAATGGTATAACACATGATTTACTTTTAAAATTATGATGTCTCCACTATAAGAATAGGTAACTTTATCTTTCTGCTAAAACTGCTTGGTCTTGCTTGCCTGTGTTTTGAAAAACTTAAAATGCTAGAATGGCAAGACATTTTAAAAGTAAAAATATAAACAGATGTATTATTGCACAGTTTATGACTAAAGGATTGCCATTATAGCCTTGGATAATTCAGAACACTTATGAAAAAACTGTAAATGAAAGCATGAAAAAACCAACCAATTTTACAGTTGAAGAATAAAAAGAAACATTATTCACTTAGTAATCTTGCCTTCTAACTTTAGATTTACAGCAGGTATTCAGCATGCTCTCAGTAAAATGCTGGGACTTAAACAAATCTCCATTTGGTCTAAAAGAAATCCAGATTTACACATGGAGGAAATGGTAATTTCCAACAAACACACACACACACATCATGGTTAATCCCACATTCCAAAGGGTGAGAGACTCTCTGGGTGCAGCCTGTGATGTGTGCTGATGCTGGTGAGCAAGGATGGAGCTCTGGGGTCCAGCTGTTCCCTTTGCCACAGCTGACGTTGCCCTTGGATGGCAGCAGCTGCCATCTGATGGCATTGCAGTCTCTGCACACACAAATGACTTGATTACCTCTCTAGCACTCCACAGATCGTTAAGAACAACCACATTACATTTGTGCCTTTAGTGATTTAACTCTAACTTTACACAAAGAGTCTCTCCCGCTGTGACAGAGCAGATATAAGCAGCTGATTATTTCTAAAATATTATATCAATAGTAAGTTCTACATTTGTGTTTCTTGAGGGTAGTATAAGGCTGGTTTGAGTCTGCCTTTTATAATAAATCTTCCTCTTTTACGATAAATCTCTTCATCTTATGTATGGAAAATTTATGAGGGTTCTTCATGGACGATACAAAATATGAACAGACAAAAAGAATTGGAAGTGATCTATCAAATTTTATTTTGCAGCTATCTTCGTAAAGCACACAGGAGACTGCTGTGAAAAATTATGTGAGCTGGGAAGAAAAGGACATTTTTCCACATTTCCATAATAAAAAAATTGCATATGATTGAGCAACGCTAATCTTCAATACTAACCCCATAATGACCTCATTGCATAAACAATTTCAGTCATGTCTCTAGCTCGCCAACACATGTATTAAACACATTTGCATTTAGAAAGTGATTGCAGTTGTGAGAGGGGCAGTGCCAGCCCCAGCTCTGCAGCACTGCAACACCCACTGCACAGAGCAGAGCAGCAGGTTCTGGAGCCACCCAGAGCCCCAGGCTGGCTGAGTGTGGCACAGACACAGGGCCAGATCACCAGGAGAAATCAGAGCTGGTTTCTCCCTAGTAACCAACTGCTTCTGCCCCAAACACAAATAACTGACAAATAATTGGTACCACAAAATCATGCCCCACCTCCAAGGTCTAAGTTGACTGACCCATCAAACCATTACAACAAAGGGGGGTGCTTAATGAATGCCAAATTCCTAACGAAAAAGTGCATTCAGTAAATGAAAACTTGGTATGTATGGTCTCAACAGGCAGTGAAAATCTAAATATATAAGAATACCAACTATAAGAATTCATGATGTTTCCTCTCCTTAGCTCCATGCTTGCCCTGTGGCAAAGTTCCCAAAATCAGCAAAAAAACCCCAAAACAAAACAAAAAAACTGGAGTAGGAGAGATGCCAAGTGAATACCACCCCGGCAGTCCATCGTGGGTTACAGGACGTGTCTTCCCACGCCGCAGGAAGCTCTGTGACTGAGCTGCAATATGGAGAAGATTTGCTGCTATCAACACTTGTGAAGCCTTTTGGTCAGGCAGCTGCAGCCATGAGCACTGCTCGCTTAGGAGCCTTGGCCAGTGAAATTTAATGGGGACTTGAGGATGCTACTGTGCACTGCACAAATTATTTAAAGGCTGTTCAAATCCACAGTTAGTTTGTCACCAGGAGAAATATATATATATATTCAAATAGACCTCCTTAGCATTTTATACATTAAAAAGCATGATTTTGTATGCATAAATTTTAAGCTCCTGGTCTGGCATTATATTTTATGTCTCCTACTGACAAATTGTGCCAGTATCAGATGAAACAGCTGCTCCCACCCAAAGCAGGCTCATAAATATTTCATCTCCCTCTCGGTTTGCAGCAGGCTGGGTGATGTGACAGCCCTGGGGGAGCACCGCTGTGCCGTGACCCACAGCACACACGTGCTTTTCCCGTGCTTCTCCAGGGATGAGCCCTCAGCACGGGGCAGATGGGTTCCCAACAAGACTATTTGCCCCAGAAAGTGCCCAGTAATTTGCTCTATCCCAGGCAGGGCATGTCCAGCTCTGATGCCAGCTGGACCAGCGGCTGTGCTGTGTGCTGGGGCAGTCTCTGCCCCGAGCTCGCTGCCCTGCAAGGCAGTGGCTGGCACACATAATGTGCAAGAGTGCAGAGAAATAAAGCCCAGGGCTTCCCAGGGGCCAGAGGCAGCTGCTTTATGATGTGCAAAGTCTGGCTTTACTGGGTTTCTCACCCGTATAAATCTTTGTCCCTATGTCCTTGACTACCTGCAGCTCCTCAGATGTAGCACAGCCGCCTCAAAGCACCCTGAGCGACGGCAGAAATCTTCCTTAACCACTTTGTGTGCAAAGCTCAGCACCCCAGTGCAGCACCAGCCCCCTTTCCACAGCCACACACTGCCAGCTTCCCGTCATTCCTGCCTCAGCTTGGCTGGAGCAGCGTTTGGACACTGCCCTGAGACCCTTGTGATGCACAGGGTGGGAGGGGAAAGGAGGGTCAGCGAGCCCTGCAGAAGGGGAAAGGGACCCTGAGTAGGACATCAGCTTTAAGCCCTGGGATTTTCCCAATCAATGTGAATGGTAATTAGGTTACTGGGTCACGGAATGCAGTTTTCATTAATGGCTCATGTTTAATTTGAACTGCTTTTCCCTATAGGTATGGATTAATGCTTTAAGTTTCTCAAGAGAAGCAAAGCATTAGAATGAGGCAATGCCTTTTATTAGGCCAAGCAATGTACTTAAAAATGCAGTCATTTTTAGGCATGCTAACCTCTTCTCCTGCCTCATTATTTTCCGTTGCTTTCAACGAACATTTTTCAGCTTTATTTATTTATATTTATTTTAAGCCAGGGCTATTGATCTCTGGTTTAGGGGAGTTTTAGTGTGCCCTTCCAATTCCTGACTAAGCACTTCAATTATTTCCCGTAAAATAGGCAAGCTTTAATTTATATCTTTTATAAAAGTATAATGATATTAATATAAAATGAAACTTGATTTTATTATTCCCAATGCACTTATATAGCTGTAATCTCACTCTCAACTCTGATCTTTCTTACTAATGGCTCAATAATTAAACTGAGAAACATAGAAAATAAAGGAGTATCTTTGTCCCACTGCTTTGCATGGTGGTAATAAACCAGATTTCCTTATATTTTTCAGCTAGGTAACTGTCAGAGTTTTGGGTTTTTTTTCCTTTTTAAAAGATCATCTCAAGCTATTTTCAGAAGTGTTCCCCTTAAGCTCCCTCTCAATATTCTGACCAGAAAACGTCTTCCTGCTGATTTGGAAAGCCTTCCATGCAAGTAGAAGGTTGTATTTTGGGCAGTGGGCTCTTCAGCAGGTAAGGCAGCGCAAACAAATGTGAAAAATGACCTGGAAAGAAACACAGCTGGTGCTGGTGTCTCTGCACCCACAGGACAGGTTATTCAGACTGGCTCTGGACTGGCCACGTGAGCACTGATGAGCTGATACCAGCAATGCATTTCTTCTGTGTTTGATAAGGTCTGCAGAACATGGTAAAATTTCTCTGATTAGGGTGCAAGGTCCTCCAAATGTACCTCCTGCCTTACTATAGTGAACCCAGTGCCTTACTGCATTATTTACCTCTCTTCTGAGGCAGACTCAGCACCACCTGCTCCACATGGAACATGGTGCATGTTCAGCCCCAGCCTGCCACCGAGGCACCATGCAAAGGTGCAACTTCAATAATCCAGGATTAAAAATTATTATCCAGAGGTGCTAATTCTCCCTTTCAATGTTCAAAGGTTGCATTATATCATGCTTATCTGTTACTCAAAACAAATTATTCCCCTAGGTCCATTTTAATCCTCCCCTATTCCCACACATCCTATTAGCTATGAACACCTCTTTGTCCCAGGAGTGAAGAATATGCCCAGGTGAAATGAGCAGTCCTGTACACCTGAGTAAGCATCATAAAACATAACCATCTCCAGCAACTCTTTTTTAAACAAGCTTTGCACATCATGCCTTTATCATCCCTGAAGGACAGATGAATGCCATGGCACTTTTATGGGCAACCCAAGGCTAAAAATAATTTAACATATGAAAAGCAAAATAACTTTTACCTTTAAGAAACACTTGCAAAAACGCAATTCTCTAGAAATTGTGAAAACTTATTAAGACAGACTTAGTAAAATAAATTCCTATAACAACTTGCTTGATAGGGAAGTCCTTCTAGTGCAGGGCTCTGCCTTTGCTGCTTTAGGCACCACAAGAAACACCTTCTTCTCCTGATCCTTATTAAAGCACAGGAGAGGACAGCAACATGAGAGGCTGTGGCATGCCCAAGGACACCCTGCTGAGGTCACTTATGAAGCCCAGTGCCAAGCAGCCAATGCTTCAGGAGTCAAGTATGTGTTAGCTAAGCTTTTTGCCACATGAACAAACAATCATCTCAGCTGCTTGATAAGCACTTGTCAAGACCACTACTCCAGTGAGAGAGGAGTATTTTCAGGTGCTGGTTATTCACAACAGCAGGCTGCTCTAGCCTTACAAGCCAGCCCCTAGTCCAGGGAAGTGTTTCATTAATAGCAAGCTCAGGATGAGGGGTTTGGTGCTCATGCAGAGGCAGTTTTGTCAGGCAGCCTGACACCAGCCCTCGCTGGCCACCCCTGTCCTGCTGCCAGCAGCACTCACTGCCACCCCCAGACAGGGGGGAGCTCCAGGGATGAGCGAGTTGCAGTGCTGAGAGGACCTGCAGGAACACCCAGGCTGGAGATGTGCTACTCTGCATTAAGAAGAACAAGCCAGCCTTTGCAGCAATGCAGTGAGCCCTGTTACCTTGGTCAGCTGCTGCTCGGAGGGGAAGCCCAGCCCGAACACAGTGTTGGCTCTGCTGTCTGCCCACTGCCCGAACTTCTGCGATGTTTTAGTGAAGGTCATGTTGGGGGTGATGGTGCTGTTTATGATCACCTGGTCACAGACAGAGCAAAAAAAAAAAGAATTAAAACGTACAAGTCACATCGGAAATGCATATCCTAGCAACGGTATCATCCAAAGCAATTAGCAGTCTAAATTGGGAAATTGCTGCGTTCAGAAGATTTTTTTTTTCCCCAAAACAAAACAGTTTTTTTCTTGTCTTAATTTTTGAGGGAGTTCTGATGCTTTGTCTTGTTTTTCAAAGTACCATCACACCCTGCAGCTGAACGTGGCTGCAGGAATGTCACTGAACTCAGAAGCAGGGTCAGGAGCCACAGAACTACCCTGGCAGAAATGCAGATGCAAAATCCTTTTTTTTTGCATTAGGAAGCCATGCAGCCACTGCCCCAACAGGTGCCTGTGTGAGGCCTCCAGGCAGGGCATCCACCAGTAACACCTGAACTCTGACCTGCAGGGCACAGAGATATTCCTGCATCCTTCCATTTGTCCTCAGGCCTCCACAAGCAGGGTACCACAGACATATCAGAAGTTTAAAACAAAACCACACAGTAAAAAACAAGACAAGGAGAAGCTGATAGCTTAACAGTGAGTTTAACTTGGGAGGGTGGTGAAGTGCATCACCAGCAATGCATATGCAGAATCAAATTTGGGCCTTGGAACAAATGTTTTGCCTCTTTACACATGTTAACTTTACATATGTTACTATCTGCTTCATCACCAGCCACACTGAAAGCAGCAGTGGTTCTTGTAATTAAAGAGATAGCCAACAAGAGGAAGGCTGGTAGATGAAGTCTCTGAGGAACTTAGTGGAACAAATACAAAATGTAGTCTTGCTAAAAGGAATGAGGTATATGTCAGTTCATTATCAAAAACCTTAACTTTATTTTCAAGATACATCATTATATGAGTCTAGCGACTTCTTCCCCTGGAAATTAATTCATGTACAATGTTCTTTCTGCTAGCAGAATAAGAGCTTTCTTTAGTAATGCATACCATCATTTCCAAAATGCAAATTATGCAGTAATTAAGCCCAATCTGTGGGACAGTTTAATTAACATGATCAGGAAGTATCCTGGCAACATCATTTACTACGTATTCCAAGCAGTTTTTTCCTAAACTATCATTTACATTTAGCAAAAAGTGTGAATTAAATTTACCAGAGGAAGATCCTTACTTGCTTCCATCCCCTCCCTGACTTTGGACCACTGTGCTGACACTTCCATTTACTTTCTTAAAAATTACTCAACTTACTTCCCTCTTTTTGCATCATCACTTTCAAACAAACCTTTGATTTTCTGCCATTCCACACCACTGGAAGTTTCACCAGAAGGATCAAGACAGAGGAGAGCCAATTACCCCAGAAATTGTCCTTTGCATGGGAAAGAACAGGGCAAGAAAGGGGGAGAGGTGACCCTGCAACCAGCACAGGTCAACACACTCTGGGCAGACAACACAGAAATTGTGGATGCCCCATCCCTGGAGTGTTCAAGGCCAGGTTGGATGGGGCTCTGAGCAACCTGGTCTGCTGGAAGGTGTCCCTGCCCACAGCAGGGGAGTTGGAACTGGGTGATCTTTGAGGTCCCTCCCAACCCAAACCACTCTGTGATTCTCTGATCAGTTTTAGGGTCCACACATCCTGAGTGGCCGGTGCACAGGCAGGGGTAAGAGCAAAGCTGACCAGATGTGTTCTCCTCCAGCTGTGCCACAGGAACAGCCAACATAAAATCTAAGTGTCATTTCAGTAATGTAAATTAAAAGAAAACCAAAGATTTTATCTAGGGGTGTGACGATACAAGGATTTCATGGTACAGAGAGTCAAAAGAACAGGAGGAAAAGCTACCACCAACCCCAAAAATCAGGGTGCTTTTCAGAAACTTTAAAGAAAGTGCTGTATGTATATTTCTGTTTTTTTTAAAAAAATCTTACATCAGACAGATAAACCACTTACAAACATCTAGCTTCTCAAGCTACAGAATTGATTTTAAAAACTATAAAATTCCCAGAAATTTCTAGTCATAGGAAGTATTATTTCAGTCCTGGTATGCCTATCAACTTAGACATCTGGGGGAAAAAAATATAAAATGACCAGTTTAATTGAAAGGCAAAAGCTTTACTCACTGATAGTAGACCCTGAGAAGAATAAAATTCCTCCATACCTCCTACAATAACCATTGAGAAAATACAAACATATAAAAACACACACTGAAGTTATCTTTTACAACACAGTTCAGTATTATGAGATGTGATAAAAAGAATAATGAAGACTGAAAACTGTAAACCAAGGAATATCTTATTGAGCAATGAAATGCTCAATGCAATGAAATGCTACATTGGCTGAGCACCTTAGAAGTTAATTTTTTTCTATGGCCAATGGAGAATCCAAGGAAAGGTTGTGGTGAGCACACACCTCTGAGAAACTGACAGTTCATCTGTTAAATTTATAATAAGCTGCTATTAGTGAAATTGCCTGGAAGCTGTCTCTACCTTTCCCCTTAAATCCTCCTCTGTCAGTCAGGCACTTCAGAAATGCTGCATTCCTACAGAGAAGTGAAATCCTGAGCAGAAGCTTAGGAGATTAAATCAGAGCTCATGTTTCTATGAGTTCAGAGGAGACGGATGCTGCGGGTACATCGTGCTCGTTCAGCCGCTCTTCCTGCCCATCCCCAGCCCATCTGCCTGTACACTCATTCCCACAGACCTGGCCATCATTTCAGAGCAGTGACACTCCACTGGCAAGGGAACAATCACACTGGTTGTGTTCAGGAGAAAGAAAGGGCGCTGTGGTTTCACAGAACAATGAACCCTGAGGCTTGCAGGTGTTGCTGCCAGGTAAGCCAGCTGACCCCACTCCTGTGGCTATGGGAGACCAGGAGGAGAGTGCTCCCCACCACTCCTCCATCCGCTGGGCAGATGGTCTCAGCTGGGGCAGGGGGAAGCATTTGTGACCACCACAGTAGGAAAGGTCAAATAAACTGGATTTTTTATTTATTTATTTTTTTTTTTTTTTTTTGGTGAAAGTATGAGCCAGAATTTTCAAATTTCAAAAGAAGGAGACAAGTAAAAGGGCACTATTTTGCTACAGGCAGGATGGGCCCTCAGGCTCTTTTACATCCCTACCTGCAACCCAGCATGATAATTCTGTAAGAAAAGGCCACTCATCAATTCTAATGAGCCCTTATGAAATACTTTGCATTAGGTCCTCATTTGTATAATACACACAGAGTGAAATTCCAACTGCAACACAAATGGAATAAACTTGTGGACTTTCATCCAGGATAATGGATTCAGAAGACAAACTACTCTCCAATCAAATGCAATCAATCCCTGAAGTGGTTAAAGAGTTCTCCCTAAAGAAAATGGCAAAGAGAAGCATAATATAATAAGCACCTTACAGAATAATAAACCCATTCTTCATACTCAGGTGTCCACATGTGGTTAAAAAAATCTGCCTTTGCACTCACCTACACGCAAATGTATCAGATGACAAACGTTCCTGATACACCTGCAGGAGCCAAGCAAAATCTCATACTAATTCCACCTCCTTTGGGAAAAAGTCATACCTGAGAGATCTAAATTTTTATCTGAAGAGGACACAGAAGTGTGTTTGCAGCACAAGGTAGCGCTGCCTCACCCAGAAATGACTCCAGACGTTTAGGAAGGCACCGGGTACCTTCATCAGATAAAAGAGAATGCAAATAAGCTGGGGTAGAGCAGGACATTCATCGGCTGAAACACACCCATCCTGCTGCCTTCCCACGGAGAGAAACTGCCAAATAAATCAAGAAGGAAGAGGTCACAAGACGACCTGAGTGTGTAGAAGGAAAAAAACGCATTGGTAGCTCCTGCTGCTCGTAATGTACGAGCAGAGCCCACAAATGCAGCTGCTGCTTCTTTTAGGGGGACACTTGTGGTATTTAAAGGGCTCCACTCCCACACTCCCCGTGCCACAACAGCACCCTGGAGGGGAAAAGCTGATGTGGCTGCTGGAAATGGACTCTCCAAGCTGCCAAACAGGCGAACAAGAGGTGACCAGGCCGCTGGCAGCTGGAGCACGGCTGGTTTGCCAGCTTGGCTCCCAGCCAGGCTGGGATGGGTCCCAGGACCCCATCCATGGGCCTTGGCCTGCCAGGATCACAGGAGGGAGCAGCTCAGGACAGCCAGCTCAGCTCTGAGGGGAGGAGAGCAGTGACTGCAGAGGGCACTTGGCAGAGCTGCTGGCACAGCCCCAAGGAGGAGGAGGAGGAGGAGGAGGATGAACACACTGAACACACCGGCAGGAATTTGCCAGGACACGCAGCCAAGGGGTGATGAGCCGAGTCAGCCAGCCCTGCCATCAGCTTCTCTACCTAGGAAAAGCCTGAAATAACAGCTATGAAATAGCTAATAAATGTATTGGCCAATGTATTTTCAAACTGTGTTAAATTAAATCAGAAAAGGACACCTTATTCTGGGACAAGAGTGCCAGGTTAGGAATTATTCTGGAATTTCCCCTTTAAATTCACATCACCTGTTACTCTGAAATAACCACACCTCCAGAAAAGCCCCAAGGCTCCAAGCCATAGGATCTACTCCTTAAGACTATACTAAAATCTTCCAATTTCATTTTTACACCTCTGAATATGTGCTTCCCATTTGCAGCCCTTGTGAAATTTAATTTCCTCAACCCACCAGGCTGCTAATCTTCAGTGAAGATGTATCCCAGTCTAAAAACAGAATTGCAGAAGGAAAGAAGCTGCTAATCCTCTGGCCATAGCTATCACAGGCTCAGCAGGTTCTTCCAGCTCATCAAGTCGACATGAATCAGAAGGGCTTGTGACACAGGATGTGAAGATGAGGAGTCAGAGGTGGATTTACAGAGAAATTCTCCCTTTATCCCAAATATTCAGCAACAATTTTGTGGAATTATCCCACAGACATTTCCATGATCTGTATTATCCTTTGCACTCTCTACCATCCTTCCTACCTCTGCTTCTAGACAGGATGTAACATCTTCTCACCAGTATTTATGGTGATAAACTGCACACACACACACA